TGGAACAGAATTGAGAATCTAGAAATTAACCCATCCACATACAGCCAACTAATTTTCAACAAAATGCCTAGGTATATTGCAAGGGGAGGAGATAGTCTCTTTAACAGATGGTGCTGGCAGAACTGGAAAGCGATATGCAAAAGAGTAAAACAACACCTTTACCTCATGCCCTATACAAAAACCAACTCAGCATGGATTAAAGACCTAAATGTGAATCCCAAAATTATGAAGGTCATTAATGAAAAAATAGGGACAAATGTCAGGGCTCTAATTCAGGGCATACACAAACATTTTGAAAATTACACAAACAAAAGTAGACAAAATAGATGAGTGTGACATACTAAAAATTAAAAACTTATGTATATCAAAAGACTTCACCAAAAAAATAAAAAGGGTTTTCTCATGGAAGGCAAGAATTGACCCACCGAGCCAGCACTGCGTGCATTTAATAGCAGACAGTGTGAAGTAGACAGAGTGAATAAAATGTGGTTCTTCCCCAGGAAGCTTAACTGGAAAGTTATGAACAGTCATGGACATAAATAACTGTAATACAGGTAGGTGTGGCACTGCGGAATAATGCACTAGACTGCAAGGTTGGTTTGAACCCAAATTCAGCATTTCTAACACACCAACTGCTTCTCAGAAACACTATACAGGGTTTCTATGAGTCGGAACTGACTTCCTCGGCACTTAAAAACAGCACTGGTAGAAGGTAGTAAGTATCATAGAAAGCTTTGTGCCCAGTGAAAGAGGCTTCCTGCAGAGCCTCTGCATTACACAAGACCATAGGTGGAATCCTGAACAGCATCCAGAGTCTTCTGAGGGGAAATTTTCACTTGAAATGACAAGCAGACCAGCCTGGAACGGCCAGAAGAACAGAAGGATACTTCCTGAAGAAAGACTGACAGGAAAAATACAAAATAATATAGGCAGGCTGACTGATTACTACAAGAACAAACAAGTGGCTGGCACAGGAGACATCAAGGCAAGTGGTTGGGTCCCCCTCAGGGCAAACCCCCTTCTAAGACTAAGGCTCAATGGGAATGCACGCTCTGATTGGTGACCAGGTTCGACTGATAAGGGGAAGTGAGGAAAAAACAGCAATGAAGCTGTTAGCTAAGCCCTAAAATGTTCAATAGACTCCTGTGAACCCAGCTGGAGACCTGGTGGGCCAGCAGTGTGCCAAGGCCAGGGGACTCTTGAACCAAGAGTCAGTGACATAGCCACAGAGGACTAGAGTAGAGAGTGAAGCATCCAGCTGATAAGAAGAGAGGGCACATGCATAAGTACACCCACACTTGCAGATAATACCCACTTGACTTGGCTTCAATGGCTGTATGATCAGAGCTCAACCAGAAGAATAAAGAAGGAAAAAAGAATAATCTGATACAATTTGATGAACTTGACCTAAACCTATGTTAGCAGTAGCTCAAAAGAGTGAGCAAATCTTCACAGCGAGGATCATTCCCACCACGTCCGCACATGGAGAGGACAGGGATGGGCAACTTGGACATTGGCTACCCAGAATGGGGGTGCTACAGAGGCAAGAAGTGACTGGTTAACAAGCTTGCAAGAGGGAAACTAGATCCAGAGGGTGCGGAGAAAGGTAGAAACTCCACTGAGTAGTATCCATTCTGTCTAGTTGGGGCTGATGAAAGGAGATGCAGATAGGTCTCTTGTGATATAATAGTGAATAATTGTTATCAGGACTGATTGTGAGGGCTGGAAATGTAAAGGTAGACATTTTGGGGCAATGGGAGGGGAGTGATTAACCTTGTAGTCTAAGAGCAGAGGTCCCTGGGACCATCAAAGAAGAGGGGAGAATGGAACCCTACCCAGAGAAGCAGTGATGCCAGGGATGGAGGCAGAGACGATGACATGGGGAGATGGAGCTGCTGGGGACTTTGGACCCAGAGAGAGAGAGGGGCTGTATGCGGATGACCAGGAGGCAGGCTTGCAGGGTATACTCTGTGGTTGATAGATGATGCATGAAGGGGATTGTAACCATGGCAAGGAAACGATATGCGACGGGATCAATATGAAACTGATGTCCTCCCATGTAAACTATCACATAATTCACAACAAGGCATTAAAACAAACAAACAACAACAACAACAAAAAGAAGGTAGTAAGTATCATAAGAGAAATTTTGTAAAGCACTGGGGTTATTGAGAAAAGCTCGAGATGACTTTTCATTGGGTGAGATTCAGAGACGGCTTCGTGGAGGAGGGTTAGAGGGTAGGTAGAAATCACCACGAAAAAGAGGCATTATTAACAGAACAACAGCAGAGGGTATGTATAAAAAATTGTAAATTGATGTACTGATTTTAATGCCAATCTAAGTTTAGCATAATCATACTCAAAGATACAAAACTGATTTTTGCTATTTAATGACCTTTTAGTATGGGTTCTGTTTTTTCCCCCCCTTCCCCCAGGGGCCATCAATCCAATCTTTGACCTGAAGAACCTCTCCTGTAGCCTGGAGGTGTCCGATGATCGTCAGACAGTCACTGTGTCTCGCTGGCCACAGTCTTATCTCTGGAGTCACGAGAGGTTAGAGACTTGCCAGATCTTATGTTCCCAGCTCCTCTTTTCTGGGCAGCAGTACTGGGAAGTGGATACTCAGCATTGTAGCCACTGGGCAGTTGGGGTGGCTTCCTGGAGGATGAGTCAAGACTAGATCCTGGGATGGACTGAAGATTCCTGGTGCGTGGAGTGAAATGGGACCAGATAGCTCTCTGTATGGAACATGGTGAAAGAATCTATCTTCAGCCTAGACAGACATGGGATTGTGGGCATCTGGTTGGACCTTGAGGCAGGGAAGCTTGCCTTCCATGCAGTGGTTAATCAAGAGAAACTTCTATCCCCTACACCTTGCCTTCTGGCTATATGGTTTACATCTGGAAACTCTTTGTTTATAAAGCAAATAATGATATAAAATCTCCTTTAGTGTTCAAACACAACAGTTTCTTGGTCTCTCCCTCTGCCTTCTAGCAGGGTAGCAATCTGACTCAAGAATCTTACTTTAGAAGTTAAAGTGCATGTATTAATTAATGATTTTTGCATATAACGTCCCAAATGTAGTGGTTTAAGATAACCCACATTTATTATCTCACAGAATAAATTAGGAGTAAGGACACAGTTTATCTGAGTTCTCTGCCTCAGTCTCACAGCAGTAGTCATGATCTGGGGCTGTGTGAGGTTTAACTAGAGATGGATCTGCTTCCAAGCTCACATGGTTGTTGCCTTCAGTGCCTTATGGGTTGTAGGACTGGAGGGATCATTGGCTGGAAGCTGTCCTCGGTTCCTTACTACAGGAGGTTTTGCAACATGACTGCCTTGCTTTCTCATAGTCAACATAGAAGAAATAATCTCCTAGCAAGATGGACTATTATAATGTTATATGGCTTTGTAATCCTTTCACCATATTTATTCCATCTGTATGCTGAACAAGTAACCCAAGAAGCTGGATTATATGAGGAAGAATGTGGCAGCAGGATTGAAGGAAGACTCATTAATATGCAGATGATCCAACCTTGCTTGCTGGTATCAAAGAGAACTTAAAATATTTATTGATGAAGATCAAAGACCACAGCCTTCAGTATGGATTGCACCTCAATGTAAAGAAGACAAAAATCCTCACCACTGGACCAATAAAATCAGTAGAGAGAAGATTGAAGTTGTCAAAGGCTTCATTTTGTTTGGATCCACAATCAATACTCATGGAAACAGCAGTCAAGAAATCAAGCAACATATTGCATTAGACAAATCTGCTGCACAAGACCTCTTTAAAGTGTTTAAAAAATAAAGATATCAGTTTGAGAACTAAAGTACATCTGACTCAAGCCACAGTGTTTTCAATTGCCTCATATGCATTGAAAGTTGGACAATGAATTAGGAAAACTGTGGAAGAGTTGATGTATTTCAGTAATGGTGTTAGTGAAGAATATTAAACGTATCATGGACTGCCAGAAGAACAAACAAATCTATGTTGGAAGAAGTACAACCAGATTGCTCTTCAGGAGCCAGGATGAGGAGATTCTGTCTCTGATACTTTGGATATGTTATCAGGTGGGACTCGTCCCTGGAGAAGAATATCATGTTTGGTAAAGTGGAGGGTCAGCAAAAAAAGAGAAAGACCCCCCAAGGAGATGGATTAACAGTGGCAGCAGCAATGGGCTCAAACGTAACAACTCTGAAGATGGCACAGGACCAGATAGTGTTTTGTTCTGTTGTGCATAGGGTTGCTATGAGTCAGAACCAACTCAATAGCGCCAACAGCAACAACAATATAATGTAATCATGTGTAAGTAATCACATGTGTCCTATTGCCTTTGCTATACAATCTGTTGGTTAAAATTATGTAATAGACCCTGCCCATACTCAGGAATGGCCAACCACACAAGGGCATGAATACCAGTAGGAATGCTTCTGGAGGTCACGTTAGAGCCTGTCTGCCTCATAGTGTCATTCATACTTAACTCCCCTTGTTTTAAAAATCATGTGATTGTATAACAAAACAGATGAAAGGAAATATACAAGGCACAGTTGTAGCTTAATGAATTATTATAACACTTTTGTCACTAAAACTCGGATTAAGACCAAACCTTGCTACCAGCTTCAAAAACCCTTTCATGTGCCTTGTCCCCATCACACAAAACCTTCCCTCTACCTAGAAGGAATCATTATCCTCACTTTCATAGAGATTACTTCATCACAATTCTTGTTTTAGAACTCAGATGTGTATTCCTAGTCACAGTAATTTTCCATGCAAACAAGTTGTGTTGAGTCAGTTCTGTATATGTGAATTTTAAACACCGAAGTACTGGTAAAACAGGGTGACTGCAGGACTAAATTAAAAACTCCATTCAAATCAAACTGCAGTTTGACCTAGAAACTTCTGATTTTGCTGAAAAGACAATTCAGTCTATTTGTCAACGTTTAACTGCTAATAAAACAGGTCAAGAATCAGGATTTCTGGCTTAGATGAAGAATTGTTTGTTAAAGGACTTGTTTGGAATGTTTACTTAGCTTGGTCTAAAAGAATGCCTGGCTTAAGCACTGTTCCCTGGAGGTTAGGAAATAGGATTGGAATCTATAATATTAAGATGAAGCCTATAAATTCTCTCATAGCTCTACGATTGGAAATAAGTAAATATAAAATCTTGGCTCTAATGTCCTAACCCCAAAATAAAATTTTCATTCACTGGGATTTTTTTTGGTGTTTCTCCTAGCTCTTTAAATACATTTTAACTGATGTAGAAACTAAGCATGTTAAGATAAGGAGACCAACTGCAGCTGTAGCAAAAAATTAGCCCCAAGGAGAATATTTTGTTAAATAACTTTCAGGATGTAACAACCTCAGAATGTAACAAACAAGATTACTACTGTTAAAATGTTTAAGTTTATAGTTTAACAAACCGTTTATAACCTTTGCTGCTCTTCCTCCCCTCACCTGTGTATCTTCTAGCACAATCCTTTGGGACACCTTTTCAAACCTTCATTGTTCTCCGACAGTTGAGAGCATTGTATAATGTTTCCCCATTTTGTAAAATGTTTCTATTGCTTCAATACAACTGTTTGTTTTTAATTCTAGTGGCTGATAAGTCTTGTGTTTCACTACAACAATTCCCACTCATGGTGGGAGAACTGTGCTCCACAGGGTTTTCAATGGCTGATGTTTTTTGGAAGTAAAGCACCAGAGCTTTCTTCCAGTGTTCCTCTGTGTAGATTTGAACCTTTAACCTTTTAGATAACAATTAAGCATGTTAACCATTTGCTTTAGTCTTGTCAGTTAAAAAAAAAAGGATAGCATTGTCTAAATATAATTTGTTGTTGTTGTTAAGTGTCATCAAGCCAATTCTGACTCATAGCAACCCTGTATAGGGTTTCCAAGGAGCCGCTGGTGAGTTGGAACCACCAACCTTGCGGTTCAAACCGACTTTACAGTCCAGGACTCTGAAATATAATTTATAAATCATAATATCCATCCATTTAAAAGTATACAGATCAATGTTTTTTAGTATATTTATTTATAAAGTTGTGCAGACAAGTAAAGACCAATAATTTATCTTAAGTGGTCACTCACAAGCTTTTAGGAGTCTAGATATTACTTACTAACCTAGGATGCAGAACATAAACTTTATGTTCTGTATTCTACCAATTGACCAAGCTAGTCCATGAGATTATGCTCCTAAACCTTCAAACTCAGAAAACCAGTCTCACAAGGTACTTAGTAATATCTGGTAGTGCAGTGGTTACGAATAGGGCTGTGAACCACAAGGTCAGCAGTTTGAAACTACCAGCTGTTCTGCAGGAGAAAGATGAAGCTTTCTGTTTGCGTAAAGATTTACAGCCTCAGAAACCCCATCCAGGGTCGTTATGAGTTGGAACCAACTCGACGGCACACAACAACAACAAGAAATATCCTTAATTGTTCCCCCATATGGGGTTGTGTATGCATGTATACACATATATTGTTATTAAGTGCCATTGAGTCAGTTCCGACTCATAGCCACCCTGTAGAGGGTTTCTGAGGAGCAGCTAGTGAGCTTGAATTGCTGACCTTGTGGTTCAAACTGACCTTGCAGTCAAGTGCTTTATCCTGCAGCACCATCCCAGGACTCCGAATCCTTCTATATGATCTACTAATTTGCTTTCCAAGCCCCAAGACCACCCTGTATGATGGGCATTAGTATCTACTGTTAGCATTTACAGGGACATGGAGGTTTAGAGGTATGTGCATGGTCAACCATATAGATGGTCATGGCCAAGCTGAGACCACAGCCAGCTTTCTCACTCTCAAGTCTCTAACATTAGTAACATTTGATAAGGTCCTGTGTGAAGCCAGGAACATGGCCTTTCATTTTGAAAGGGCACAGCTATCCTTGAATTCAGGATTTTGTGAATTGAATTTTGTGCTGGTTGTTATTCATGGCAGTCTGCAGTGTAGTGGCCTTGGGTTGCCTAAGCAGGAACAAGCCACCCTCTTTGTGCCAGATGATCATTAAAAAGCTCCCAAGACTCACTCTTTCACTATGGAGCTTGTTTCTTCTTACCTGGTAGTGGTGGTGGTGTGCCATGGAGTTGGTTCCGACTCATAGCAACCCTGCACAGGGTTTCCGAGGCTGTAAATCTTTACGGGAGCAGAAAGCCTCATTTTCTCCCATGGAACGTCTGGTAGTTTTGAATGGTTAGCAGCCCAACTTGTAACCACTATGCTACCAGAGCTCCTTGAGTTTGTTTCAAGCTTCAGAATTCAGAAACCAGAGTTTTAGCCTCTAAAGGTCCTTTGGTTAAATATTGTTCTCTTGGGTGGTTTGGATAATGGGGTCTCCATAAGCATGGAGGTTGGCCCAGGACCGGGCACTGTTTTGTTCTGTTGTGAACAGAGTTGTTATGAGTTGGCACTGACTCAATGGAATCTAACAACAACAATGAAGATGGAATTTATATGCTGGACACATGAGTTCACCAAACTTGTGCCAAAGCACAAGAACCATGAAGACGGTGAAGGAGAGTCAGTCTTTTTTGATTTCCATGCTTCTCCCGCCAGAGGCTCTGTCAGTGTATCCCTCCTTCTGTGCTATACAAAATGGTACCCTTCCCTCCAACAAGACACAGAATCCCATAAGGGACACAGAGAAGATGTGAGGCTGAAATGACAGTGGTAGAAGAGCCTCTTACTTGAGGAAATCCACCCTATGCCCAAGCCAAACATGGGCATCCACCCACAAATCAAACCAAAAAGACTTCCCATGGGGAAGCATAGGTTCAGAGGCAGAGCACTTGGCTCCCCAGGCAACTTCTCACCATATCTGTACCTGTTTGTCTCAGAGATTTGTTTTCTTTCAGACTTTGTCTCTATTAAGTGCTTTCTTTCTTACCAGCTGGTGAGAAGAGCATTCCCTTGTCTGTGACGCAGGCTGTCTCTGTTCC